CTGAGCCGTACCGTGCCGAGTCGTACCACGCAGTGGAAAAGCGCCATTAGTAACACATACAGCTGTTCCCTCACCACAGTGCAACACCCCTTTCAAACAGTGTCGCGTTCCGAACGCTGTTTAAGTGACATATACCGGTATTGCGGTATTTTCAAAATTCATATCATAACAAAAATAAAAACCGGTATTCGGTATGAACCGGTATACCGCCCAGCACTACGTGGAACCTGCGGGAATGAGTACAATTGTTATTAATAGCTGCAATCCTGCGCCGAAATTCAAGTCCTGCTCTGTGTTCTCTGCTAATAACCCGACTGTGAATGATTCGAGTGGCATCCCTATGTTGTCACTGAGAAGCTGCAGCCATGGCCGGGAATGATTTTTGGTGTGCCGGCAGAACAACAACAACGCGCTACATGTTTCTTTTTCCCTCATTTTTTTTTTCCAATTGAAGGAAATCCGTCGTAGCGACGGAAAACTTTAATCCCTGCATAAACAATTTATTTAAAATTTAATTCAAGCACTTTCAAGGACCTATGTTTGTTTTCAAGTACTTTCCAGGCCTTGAATCCATATGTCTGAAATTCAAGTACTTTCAAGAAGCGTGGGAACCCTGTAAATGTCGTATGTGTGTTCACGAGAGAGTGGCGTGGCAGCAGATTGATGGATGGATGCACTTTTTTGGACTTCTATTGGACTATTGAATCTCAACCCCCATTCACTGCCATTACAAAGCTTGGAAGAGCTAGGACATTTTTTAAATATAACTGATTGTATTCGTCTGAAAGAAGAAAGTCATATACACCTAGGATGGCTTGAGTGCAAGTAAATCATGGGTGAATTATCCCTTTAAAGGGACTAGAATCCCTGTATAGCATGTTGCTGGCAATGCCAAGGTCATGCGCTCGATTTCGTTGGAATTCATTGAAAATGTCTTTTAAAGGACTAGAACCTGTTGACAACACCAAAGTCATGGGTTCGATTCCCAGGTAAAGCATGACCCAATAAAATGTATACTCTGGAATTCGTTTGAAATGTCGCTTCAGATAAAAACATCTGTCAAATGCATAAATGTAAATGAGTAGTTAACCAAAACTCAAAACTCTGCCATTGAATCATCCCTCATGTCATTTCAAACCTGTAATTTTTGTGGAACGCACATAAAAATGAACCTTCATGCAGCTCATTTCCATAATAGAAAATAAATTCATTTTTATTATGTTCAAGATTAATGTATCCTGCATGTTCATATCAAATAGGGCACCCATTAAATTTGCCATCAATGACATTTTGTCACAATGGCTTTCTGCAAGTGAGAACCATAATGTAATTTCATAATGACATTGACATTAAACCTAACATGAGGCCATTAAAATGCACCATATTTTAAAGTCAAATTGACAACTTGTCTTCTTTAGAGTCCTAGAGACATGACCTTTCAAGCTGTTTAATAGAAAACAAACCTATGTAAATATTCTTCAACAATCATTTTTTGAGAGGGAATTAAACAGCATGCAGGTTTGGATCAACGTGAGGGTGAGTAAATAATGACAGAATTTCACTTTTGGGTGAATTTGTCCTTCGCAATGAAACTGATATTTGATGCAAGCATAAGCATTTAGTTTGACAGCTATGATTTCTGACATATCATAATACATACTGAGCCTGCTTTCATAGCATTCATAATCTTCTTCTCGAGTCCAGTTGCCTGCTCCTCATCAGTGGGAATACCTGCGTGAAAAATTACGATTAAAAGAGTAAAACAAATTCTCATTCTGACCAGCAATTCACAGTCCATTTCTATATCGTCACTTTCACTTTCATATTTGCAGACTAAGTTATATGCCAAGTCAAATATAACGCATTTGTATTTTCATTTTAAAACTAAACCAATATACCCCAACAATCCACATTAAAACTCTAAAACGACACAATCTCGTAAAATATCCCATGAGAAATTATATTTAAACACGTTTTCCCATTTAGACTTCCGATGGTAAGCGCATTGACCACCGCGGAAGGCATCGCGTCCTTGGCACGCGTTCAAAAACTGCCTCTTAACTGATGCTGCGGCGCGTTTCGTTTAATAGAAACAGCCCGTGATAAAAGACTGACCTCCCGCCGCCATCCCTCTGGTCAGCGCGACCGCTGGAGAGGCCCTGCGGGTCACAGCAGCCCGGACGGCGCTTCTCAGCAGTAACCTTGCAACCATGTCTTCCTCTTCCCCAAAAACTTCCAGAATCGGGCTGATGACGTCGAAGAGGCGTTTACGTAACCATCGCGTCGCGTGAGTTAGACGTCAGCAACCTATGTATTCCATACGCTCTGATGTGAAGTGAACGGCTGGCAATGGTTCTTGGACAGATAAAGCCTTTTACTTACAAAAATGTTCAATTGAAATTGTTATTTTGTAAGTTGTAAGTTGTTGTTACAGCTGTAAAATCATAAAAATAATTTGAGATCTCCTTCAAACTAAATCTTTAATGTTTTTGACTATATGTGTATATGTATGTATATGTGTGTGTACTGTATATACATATATGTGTGTGCATATATATATATATACATACACACACACACAGGTATATATATATATATATATATTACTGTTTAGTTATGTTATTCATTCATTCATTATTTGTTAATTTTTTAGGTCAGTAGTGGCTGAAGCCAAATTCTCAGTTTTGTTGTAGTAACAAAAAAGATGACCATGATTAGCATGTTCTTTTTATGTTCTATTTCATGGTTTTGGTAAGTAATTTGTAAGTTCCTTGTAAATACCATGGTTAATATGTTAATCATTCAGATCTGCTGATCTGTTATGTGTGTAAGTGTACCATGGTACTGCCATAGTACTTTCCTTTTAACAACTGCATTTTTAGTGGAAACTGTAGTTACCATGGTTTTTTTTTTTTTGTGAGGAAAGTAATTAATACATTTTGGGTGAGAATGCATGTTTTCAGGAATATGGGAATATGGGAAGATTTTCATTTATTACAATGCTGGAGTTTATTTTCTGTTCTTTGTTTGATTGCTATATTTGAATTAACATGAAAAGAACATCAAACTTTAACATGCTGCAACTTTATTTGGATAAAGTAAGAAAACAGATTTTTCAAAAACCCAGTAACATAATTAAAATACATTAACAAACCACAATCATTTTGTTACATGATACTGCATCTGATTGGTTACTGTAGACTTAAAGAAGCTCAACATAATTAGCAGGAAACAATCCGTAGTGACCATCAGGACTGTAACCTCTCCACCAGCCCTCATCTATCATCTCGATCCCTGTGATAATATCATCCGGGTCAAAAGTGATCTCGGAGACATCCACTAAATGAGAAACAAAGAAGAAAATATAGTGCATAAATTGATGTGTTTTTAATACCACATCTTCACTGATTATTAGTGTTTGGAATATTGTAAAATAATTTATTTTCTAAATTTAATCAGGCCTAGCTTTACTGCATTCTAATTTATTGAGATGCACCTGTATATATATATAGAATATTTTTAAATATAAAATTTGATAATATAAAATAAATTAAAATATTTATATATGATTCATTTATAATTAAAATAAATTACTTAGATAATATTTAGATAATACAGTAGAACTACACCACTCACGAGCTTGGTAGTCATAAAGTGCTCTTGCGCAGATGTTCTGGTTTTCGCCTGTCTCCTCTTCCTCACCAGCATGGGTTTGGAAATCCTTCAAATTATATGATAAATAATGCCATTCGTGTGACACTGAAATCTATTGTACATAATATTTTATACCCAGCTGAAATATTATTATTACTACAGAAAAATATGTCCTAATACGTCATGGAAGCAAGGTTTTGGGTGACAAGACAAGGAACCAACCTGGTTAATGTTCTCATAGACACTTTTATGTGAGGGGATGTTCGAGTAGATGTTGTTTACATCATAACTTTGCTGTTTCCCAGCATTAGGGCTCGATCCCTCCTCACCTGAATCTGCTGCAGGATACACAGCAAGTAAGATTTCAGGCATAATTATAACACTGACTGACGTTAATAAGCTTTACAGAGAGAACACATACCATCCCATTCATCTTCAGAATCTTCAGCTTGTTCAGATACAAATGGATCATCAGAGAAGGGGTCTGAAAGACAGCAATAAAGCAACTTATTACTTAACTGTTACATAATGTCAACCCACAGAAATAAAAAGGATTGCTGCTTTTAATCACCTTCATATTTTACTGGGAAAGCCAGAGTTTCGTGCACAGGAGAGACTGGAGCTGGTATATGTGAAACTGAGGCAGCTGCTGCAGGGCGAACTGGAGATAGGGGCTGAGACCTGCTTTCATTGGGAGGGTTTTCTGCACTGACTGCTTGCTGGGATAAAAATGGGCTTCTCAACTGACCTGAGGGAAAAGACATGAATTTCTGAATTTTGGGATAAAAGGCTTGGGACTGTGCATGTTTTATATATGAGGTTTTGTCGGAAGTTCTTTTGATGAATTATTGGACAGGAGTTTTCTTTACTTGGTCGGGTGGCTGAAGAAGGCGTTGCACTGTTGGCCAAGCTTCTCTCCTTCTGCATGAACAGCTCTCTGGGATTGATGGAACGCTGAGAGATGATTGATGCTGCCTCCTGAAAAAAGGTAGAAAATGCTATTTTATGTCTTTTAATTTCTTACTTACACTTCAACATATAATAGAGGAAGACACTAGGATTCTGGAAGTAAAATCCCATTCATTTTCTCCTTAAAGAACATTTTTGTTTTGAACGTTTTTTAATGGTAATGTGTAAACTATTCAAGACAGACCATAAGTCAATATTTTTATATAATACTATTGTTTGATATTTTATTACATAATTCACAATGCTTTGTGGGAAGTGCATTTCATTTGATCATTAAAAAATGGTCTAATTTTCATATACTTTTTTCTTTGAACCCGTGATTCATCTCTGAGCTTAGAACTATTTTTTTAATCTCTTTGGAGAAATTCAATGGGAAATATACTCTGAGATCCAAGGACACTCTCACTGTTGTGCTGTATTTATTTTGACTCATCAAAGGTGAACTCACATTGGCCTTCTGCACAGACTCAGATCGCAATATTCCTGCTTTGACAGGAGACTGGTGTTCCTTCTGCTCTTTCTCCTTAACAACAAGTGAGGCAATCAAGAGTGACTAACATGATATATTAAATATGATTTTATCATGTTCAGATTTATTGCAGGTAATAATTTTACCAATTTTCTTTGCTCCTGTTCTTTATTTCCTGCCTCTTGTTTCTTTTCAAACAGCCTGTGAGACAAGTAGGAAGTTATTTTGCAATCACGTATAGCCAAAGCAACTCCCTTTTTGCATACACTACTGTTCAAAAGTTTGAGGACAGTAAGATTTTTTAATGTTTTTTGAAATAGCTCTCTTATGCATTTATTTGATCTAAAATATAGTAAAAACAAAGTAAAATTGTGAAATATTATTACAATTTAAAAATAACTTTTCTATTTTAAGATATTATAAAATTTAATTTATTCATGTGATGCAAAGCTGAATTTTCAGCATCATTACTCCGGTCTTCAGTCACAGTGTCTTCAGTGCTCTAATATGATAATTTGATGCTCAAGAAACTATCAATGTTGAAAACAGTTGTGCTGCTTAATATTTTTGGTGGAAAATCATTTTTTGATGATTCTTTGAAAGTTCAAAAGAACAGCATTATTTGAAATACAAATCAAGTCACTTTTGATCAAATTAACATGTCGTTGCTGAATAAGAACATAAATATATTTCCGGTCCCAAACTTTTGAACGGTAGTGTATATACTATTTGACGATATGAATAGGACAGACACAAAATCACTCGCCTCTGTTGGTCGATCCCTTGCTCTCTCTCCCTCCGCCTTTGTTCTCGTTCGTTTGCCTCTCGAGCGTCCTGCTCCCTCCGTTCTTTCTCCAGACGCTGCCTCTCCTCATTTGCCTTCCTGCGCTCCTCCTGCCGCCGGTTCTTTTCATCTTGCTGATAAAGGAGATGGAAGAGAATGTGTCAAGACAACAAAGAGCAGATGAGAAGATAAAAGCATTGTGTTTTACCGTGCCGTTTCCTCACCTCAGCCTGAACCCAGAAGTTGTCTCTGTCTGTAATTTGGATTTCATCTAAAGCACTGACCTTTTTATAGACAGAACCCTGTAGGAACAAAGACATTGGAGTAATTCAGAAAGCAAACATGCAGATATTCAAAGCCTCTAGAAATATGAGGTATGGACATAACTCATCGCTTCACTCACCACACGTCCAAGAGGTTCACAATTATTGTTCTGGCTTGATTCTTTGTGGATGTTGTAGTTGACGCCTGAGCCCTTGGCCACCTTCTCCATGATGGCAGCAGGTTCAACATCATCATCTGATCGAGCGTTGATGGTCACATGGGCACCCTTTAATAAAATACACATTCAAAATGAGGAATTTGTAGCGAATGAAATGACATGACCCTAATGTAACTACAAAATGAAAATCGAGAATTATAATAAGCTGCATCATACACTCACCCTCAGAAAATTGGCCACTGAATGAACGTGGTTGGCGCAAACACCCTTTCTAACGTCCTTGACTCCCTCGCCAGTCTGAAACCAAATAATAGTATAAAGAAAGATGATTGCTAAAATGGAGATTGAGGGGTTAAAGGGATAGTTCACCCAAAAATGAAAATTCTGTCATCATTCATTTTTATTCCCTCCACCGAAAGTCAAGGTAACCAAAATTTAGACAATCCAAAAGGATCATAATTGCATCATACAACTAATCCATATGAATCAAGCGGTTTAATCCAAGTTATGCAAAGAGATACTGTCGCTTTATAGGATTTATCTGATCTAAACTATGACCTTTTTGGATCTTTATTTTAGTTCCCTGGAATTTCAGTGGAGGGACACTTCTCAGGTTTCTTTTAAATCTGAATTTGTTTTTGTTTTGAAGATTAACCTAAGTCTTATTGGTTTGGAACATGAGGTTGAGTAAATGATGACAATTTTTTTTTTTCATTTTACATTATAAAGTAGGTTAGTTCTCATCAGTACATTCGGTTTTGGACATTTTTGTCCATTCGTACCCAGTTGATGAGCACAAACTTGGGAACTCCAGAGCTGGGGTCCAACACTTTACAGAAGGTGTACATGATTTTACCGCTGTTCAGTTCCTCCACCATTTCTTCAAGCCCACCATCTATGGCACACTCAGAGAAAACGCACAAGCATTTGTAATTGTCAACT